GGTTTATCTGTTGATTTAAGATTTTGTAAGTCAGATCTACTTTTTTTCCTGCTTCTATCCACGCAGTAAGGAGTCCATCAACAACTCTGATCTTTGTTAGTCCCAGAAGATCCACTGGCTAGCTGAATGAGAGAGGTGTGTCAGCTGATTCCTCTGTCAAAGGGGGGCTACCTGTGGGGACTGCCATAAAGAGAAGTGAGATACTCTATATTAAAATGCTCTGTTAACAATAGAACATTACACAAATAAGGTATTGTCCTATGAGGTTTACCATTATGTTGAATTTTTTTTTCTTCTGCATCTTTTATGCTATGAATCCTAGATTTCTGCTCCTCCCTGAACTATATTTGCAGTCCTTAATGTGTTCCAGATGCTAATATTTCTATTTTTTTCTTCTGGACGCTTAGTTTTTTTTTTTCTATTTACACCGAAATTTCGTTTTCGTTGTTGACCTCAGGTTTGTCGATTTTATGTTGTTATTTTTGTGTTGGTAGTTTCCTTATCTCAGGCATTTTAATTGACATTTTAGTGGAGTAAATATGAAAAAAATCACCAACTTGCACTGTAAACTACAAAGGCCTATAGAGAAGCATTTTCATCATTTCTTTTCTGTTTTGGCAGAAGGTTTTTTCTTGCATTATACTAACTGACTACATTGAATGTAAAGAAAGTGTTATCAGGTAAGTGGGATGCCAGGTTTGGGTGTGAAGGGACAGGAACACATTGAGCACATGAAAGGAAAGGCTCAGATTGAAGAGGTGGGTTGGATTTTGCAGAAGCCAAAATTACTCACTTGATAGGTCTTAGTTACAGAATTATAATTTTAGGAACAAGAGACTTTGGGGAATTAAATTACTGTGTTGAAAATGCCCTTCTCAATAAAACAAAGAAAAGAAGGTTAGAGAATATTTATATCCTGGAGACCACAAAAATAATATAAACAAAGAGAGAAATAGGGCAAAAGTCTTTTAAGATTAAGTTAGTCATACTCTGTTATTTTAGTTACGAGAGTCCCTTGCTATGTTTACTAATGTTGTGGTAAAGAACAAAGCTAAGATCTGTAATAATTTAATCAATTAAGCTTGTAAAGCATATTTACTATAAAGCATGTTTACTAAAAGAAACCATTTTTGTTCAAATAAAGTATTTAGCAGAAATTGAATTTGATCATATTAGCTATAAATGATCTCACCAGCCTTGTAATAATTAACCCACCACACTGTAAATGAATTCACAAACCTTGTAATCATCACCATACATACTATGTGGGATTTGACTGGCTGAACCGGCTCCATAAGCAAGAAAACTTTTTTTTTAATAGTTCTCTTACGTTTCAAGTTCCCAGGCCACTGAGATTTGCTGACCAGAATTTTGTAACTTTCTGTTGCACTGATGCGTTCCCTTTTGAGTTTCTTTCCAAGAAGCAGTGAACTCTTTGCAAAGGAGATAGCTACAAAGCCTTACACCACCTGCTTGCCCGGAGAAGAAAACATAAGTGACACCTCACCACAGATTGTGCCCAAGGACCCGCTGAGCAGCCTACTCCCCGCATCCTGTCTTCGCGCAAGGCTGGAAGAATGACCAATATTAACCTTCGCTCACTATACTACTAAAATCCCCACCCTGAGAGGGACTTAACTGCTATTTCTTGATCATGGGATGTGTGTAGTAGCATGGATTTCTCACTGCGCTTGCGTGTCCTGCATTCCACCCCAAACACGTAATGATGCTCACTCCTCTCGTGCATTATTCATTTCACCTCCAGAAAAACCCTTGAAGCTGTTGGTTCTTGGTCGGGGAGGCGGACTTGAACCAGTCCATTCCTTCCACCTCCTGGTTGACACATTCTCTGCAATAAATCCTTTCTTCCTTGACAATCCTCGTTGTCTCAGGAATTGGCTTTCTGTGCGGTGAGCAGCAAGCAGAGAACCCCCCTTGTGGGTTCATTAACATGGCTCGTTACTATCTATGCAGAAAAAAATATGATTGATCCAAGCGGATTGTGCGTCCTCCTCGTTCTTCCACAAGTGAGAGAAAGGACAGAAGGGGACGGGGGCGGGGAAGAACAAGAAGGAGAAAAATGCTAAGAGAAGTAACAGGAGAAGATATACGAGACAGTGAAGCCTTCTATAAAAGCAGGCCACCAGTCCAGAGCTGTAGCTCATGGTCTCAGATTAATCAGATACCATTTGCCTGAATTCTAGAGATCCACAGAGAAGGGATTTTTTTTTTTTTTTTTTTTTTTGAGACAGGGTCTCGCTCTGTTGCCTAAGGCTAGAGTGCAGAGGCATCATCATAGCTCATTGCAGCCCCAAACTCCTGGGCTCAAGTGATCCTCCTGCCTCAGCCTCCCAAGTAGCTGGGACTATCAGCTTGTGCCACCATGCCCAGCTAATTTTTTTCTATTTTTGGTAGCCATGGGCGCTCGCTCTCACTCAGGCCGTTCTGGAACTCCCGCCTCAGCCTCCCAAAGTGTTAGGATTACAGTTGTGAGCCACCGTGCCCAGCCGATACCACTTTTGATATTAAGTTGAAACAATGGGTTCTTAGCACAGGAGAACGGACCATTGTCATCACGTGGATAGAGAACAAGAAGCCACCTGGGAAGGAGATGGACTTAAAAGACGGAAAGACACTGCTGGAAGGTATAATTTGTAATAACCGTAATTATTGATTGGTTTATATCTTGTTCTTTCCTCAACAAGCAACTTTAGCAACATGGGTATATTGTACTCAAGACTTCTGTATCTTACTACTGAAGTAGAAGCACAGCAAAATAAATTGGGGAGCAACATCCTTGAGTAACAACGTTGGAGGAGGCAGTAAGTCTCAGCAGTGGATACTGCAAGTAAAAGTCTAACTGACTTAAGTATTATAAAAGGAGTCTTTTCTTGTAATCTGGCTCACTAGAATTCTTCTCTGGATTTGGGAGCCAAGGCCCAGGCAGTCCTTGCTTTGCTCCCTGGGACTATATTTCCCTCAGGAAGTTCAGGGAGTGGTGCCTCATTGACGGTAGGTTATGGTCTTTGCATCTCATATTCCAACCTCGTATATTAATATTTATCTAGAAATATATTTATCTAATATTTTGACATATATAGGTAGAAACATACAATGAAATACTATGCAATCATTAAAAATGATGCATGAAGATATTTAATGACATGGGGAAAACGATACATCACAAAATAAAATCTGGTTATTAAACAATAAGTAAAATTTTTTAAAACTTTATCATATATACATAAAAATAGAGAAAAGATGTATAGCAGAATAATTCAGCCATTAAAATTATGTTTATAGAAAACAATAACAACATGAGGGAACAACTTGTAATGTTAATGAAAAATGGTAGATATAATACTGTATAATTAGTGATTGAATAAAGTGTGAGTCTGACTTTGTTGAATGTGGGTGGAGAAGAAACTAGAAGGGAGCGTGTGAGAACACTGGCAGCAGTTTTCTCTGAATGTTGGAATCCTGCATGAAGTTTGGTGAAAGAGTTATTGTCTTTATACTCTACTCTCCTCTCTAAATGTGCATGTAATTTATTTATGATAATGTAAATACTTCTTAAATGTCTGTAACTCTTCAAAAGTGAGACTTCAGCATAAATGAGCTGCCAAATATTTTAAGAATTTACATAACTCTAATATACTAGTGGGAGGGACAAGTCTGAGGGGCTGCCGGCGGTAAGAGGTAAGACTTGTTCTGTGTCCTCCAAAAGTCTAGACAGCGATCAGCAGGTAATAGACATCGAGGAACAGATTTCAAGTCAGTGTGAAAAAGAGTTTTGTAATAATAAACGCTGACCCACAATGGAACGGGTCCCTTCAAGATGTCGAGTGCAGAAAGTGGTCAGACAGAGGCTGGAGGTCTTCTTGCCCTGGGAGCGGGGAGGGTTGGGGGAGAAGTACGAGGGGACAGTGGGACAGATGACGTCTAGCATCACTGTCACTGCTAACATTCTGTCTATTTGTCACTCACTCATTCATACAGCTTCCAAAATGGCCCCAGTGCCTCTGGGTATTCATGCCCTTATGTAAATCCCTCCTGGATGGAATCCGCTGATCCAAGTCCAATAGGACACCGTGGAAAAGATGGTGTGTGATTTCAGAGGCTAGATCATAGGAGACATTGTGGCTTCTGCCTTGCTCTCTCTTGAATTACTCACTCTGGAGCAGGCCAGGCCTCGGAGAGGCCCTGTGGAGAGCATCTGAGGCCTCCTGCCAACACTTAGCAAAAACTTGCCCACTATGTGAGCAATTCACCTTGGAGACACACCTCCAGTCCCCAACGAGCCTTCAGATGACTGCATCCCCTGCCGACATCTAGCCTGTAGATGTATGAGAGACCTAGCAGAATGGCCCAGTTAAGCCATACCTGAATTTCTGACCCACAGACTATGAGATGAAACCACTACATTTGGAGGTAATTTTTTATATAGCATTAAATAACAATATAATACATTTTTACCTGATTGGTTCCACAACAGGTTTGAAATAATGGTCTGTGATTCAGTCATTTCAGCTGAGCTATTGACAAGTTTTTCTTAATTAGGCAAAATCCCCAGCTGTTCCAGGCACCTAACAGTAGCCTCTCCACTTAAAATAGTGCAGTTTAACCCACCACAGTTCGATGTCTTAACATGTTCCAATAAAAACAATGTCATCTTTGCTGTAAGGTGACATGTGTTATTTTTTTCTGATGGAAAAGAATAATGTGCTTTTTATTCTCCTATAGATTTGGTGTCTGTGGGTAGCTACCACTACACCAATATACTGTACATTTCTCAGCTTCTACCCATCAATTTGCTCAGCAAAAAGGTAGGCTACAAATTGCAGCAATAGAGCATTTTAAAAAGGTAATTTTCAGCATTTCTGCACCTAAACGGGAAATTTTATCTGGATAAACAAGCCAAACGCAAAGACAAAGACTCTGCAAATTGTTCTTACAAATAGATGACTAAATCATCCCTTTGGTATTAAAAATATATTTTTTTAATATCTGAAAGTTATGAGATATTCTGGGTAAGCCTGATTATCAGAGAATACCACAAATAGGGTTGGATGTTGTGTATTGTCTGTGACAGAGTCAAAGAGATCTGTGGGGTTGGCAGGATCCCTTGGTGGAGGGGTAACTAACCCTACACTTCCCTTGGTGTAGTCCCCCGTAAGTACTTGCACAACATACATGTGCTTTCTCCCCTGATCGTCTGGCTTAGAGTATGTATTGTTAGCAGAATAACTGGCATCAACAGCAAAATAGGTTCCTTTTCCATAGGCTGCACCTGTAAAGAGAAAGACAAAAGCCTTCCTAAGAATGTAAAATTACATAGTATGTAGAACTATGCCAAACCGGACAAAAAAAATTTTTTAAATGTAGTTCCTGCCCACCAAAGCCACCTTTTGTCATTTCTAGAATTCACTTCATCTTCCCTCAGAAGGTTGTCAGTGTCCTTGCAGCTGAAGCACAGTGAGCTGTGTCCTGACCATGACAATATGGCTGCCATCTATAGTTCTATACTCCCTGGATGTGACTAGTTGACACTAGAACCACCATTCACCTCATTCTGATCAACCAGATTAGTCCCCTCCTTACTGTTCTTCCCAGCATAACTGCGATTAAAGCCATATTCATTGACATATGGCACCGAGTGTGCATCTGTCCCATGGAAGAGGAGTCTCTCATTATCTGTGTGGCCATTCTTGACATCCATGTGCCGTTTCTTTATCTGGTAGCTCTGCCAGAGAGGTATATTCTGTATTCTCTCAATCTGCAGATGACAAAAACCAAAACATTTTGGAAATAACCTTAGATCTCAGTATATTGTACTTGTTGTGGATTTAAAGTAAGCAATATGAGGAAGAAAGATGAGAAGGAAAAGGAGAAGGAGGAAGAGGAGGGGGAGGAGAGGGAAAAGGAGAAGAAAATGCAAACCAACTGAAAATTTAGAGAGTAGGTAGCTTTCTGTCTTTAGAAAAAGACAGGCTACAAGTATCTATTAATATCTATACTTTGTAATGGTGATTATTAGTATCTATTTTACATAACAGAACTTATAATTTATATGAAAATGTTTACCTATATATATTCTCTGGAATTTCTAGAGATTCACTGACATTGAAACTCCTACTCAAAAATTTGTAATCATTCAATAGCCATTTCCTTAATTCCTTTTCATCTTCAAACCCATTCCATGTGGCTTCTCCCAGTAGCGACTCTTTCTGTTATTGCCCCATTTATGGTGACAAATCACTTCATAATTGCCTGAAAAAGTCTGATGACTTTTTCTTTTTAGACCTCTCAATAGCATTTCAAACCATGAACAACCCCCTCTTTGAAACTTCACCCTTTTTTAACTTCTTTTCAAAATATTACTCTCTACTTGTTTTCCTTCCTTCTAGGAAATGAAGTTAATTAACATCCATTCAATAGTCATCTAGTGAACATCTACTATGAATCAAGTGCTGTACTGGGTCTCTGCCCTAGTGAAATGTTCAGTCTAATGGGGAAGAAAGACAAGAAAACAAATTACTGCCCCTCAGAGTGAGAAGGGTTGGGTTAGGAGAACACACACAGAGCTGTGAAAGCATAAGAAAGGGCTCCAGGGAATCTATGTCTGGGGAGGAAGGAGGAGATCTGAGAGGATGATGTTCTGGAAACAGAAAAAGAAGAGAGGTTCAAGAAGACTGGAGTGGGTACCTAGGGCAGATGTTGAGGAGAGGCCAACTAATAAGGGCAGGAGGGAAAATTGTTTTGCTGAGAGTGATGGCGTCCTCAGGGAGAATGATGAAGGCTTGGAATGGGGAATGCGGGAGGCAATTGACTGGAGGAAGCACTGAAGAATTCCAGGCAGCCTGGAGAGTCCAGCTGAGATTGGGGACCATGAATTAGAACTGATTTTATCTAGGAGCAGCAAGAAAGAAAGTGGGTTATGGGATTAATCCAAAGTTGGGGATTTTCAAAATGGGTATGCTAGAAGGCTAAGAGCTAAGAAAGTTGCAGATATTGGCTAAACACAATGGAATTGAGGTTGTTGCTCCCCTTTCAGTGGTCCCTCAATATCTGTGGAGGACTGGTTCCAGGACTCCTGCAGATACCAAAATTTGAGGATGCCCAAGTCCCTTATATAAAATGGCAGTACTGTATTTGCATATAAACCACGCAATCCTCCTGTATACTTTTTTTTCCTCCTGTATACTTTAAATCATCTATAGAGTACTTATAAAACCTAATACAATGTCAATACTGTGTAAATGGTTGTCATACTCTATTGTTTAGGGAATAAGGACAAGAAGAAAAAGTCTGCACATGTTCAGTATAGATGCAACCATGATAGGCCTGATGCAATTTTTGATCTGCAATTAGTTGAAACCATGGATGCAGAACCCATGGATACAGAAGGCCAACTGTACTCTCAACAGCTTTTAGCACTACGAAGCATCTCCTCCTTTAAATTCTGTCCTTTCTGCAGGATGTCTCTCCTGGTTCTCTTCTCTTAGGAATTATGTTCATTCATTCAATTTCACTTGTTGAATACATATTGTGTCCTACTATGTGCTAGGCTGTGTGCTAGGTACCAGGGATGCAGACATGAATGAGATGCGACTCCTACCTTAAGAAGCTCCCTGTCTAATTGGGAAGCCAGGCATGTGAAAGGCTATCAACGTACAATTTTACAAGTGCTATAATGTCAGTAAGTACACGGTTCTATGGAAGAAGTGACTAGATTTTAAATTACTAGGATGCCACACCCTGCTCTGATACACATAGTATGCCGATAAACCCCTACACTTTACTGACTAATATTTTCATGCAGCACAGTGGATGTTGTGGGAATCTCCTGAACATCCATTCCACCCCGTCAACAACTGGTTTGAGTGGAATTGGCCCCACTTATATTAACAGGTCTAGGGTGGAGCCTACTGGGATTAAACCAATCAGGATCTCCAGATGGATCGCACAGTGAGGGAGCTGATGGCCCAGGCCCAAGCCAAGCAGCACATGGTATTCCCCAGACACAGAGATGGCTGGAGTGGTCCATTCAAAAAAATCCTTGGTAAGCAAGGCATTCAGGAAATGAAAAAACAAAATAAAAAACTTGGGGCTCTTATCTAGTGATTGTGGGAGAGGACATAGTTGTCTTCTGTGGGATGTGAATGAGGAAGCAGAGACCCCTGATTACCACCAGCAGCCATCCTACAACCACACGAAGAGTCCAGCCTTATGATGAAGCTGACACTGTGGACGTCAAAGACAGGGAAACTAGATCCAGGACATCACCTAGCCACTGGATCACACTGCTCCAAAGCCCATCCTACTTCCAGACTTTCCATTAATTTCCAGTACAATTCTCCTTGTTTAATCAGTTTGAGTGGCTCAGTTTGTGCTTGCAGCTGAAAGTATCCTAACACAAACATGTGACTTTCGAGAATATCCTTCTTTACTGCTAGTGAATGAACCATGAGATTTGAAGTCTATGGAGCTAAATCTAATTCCAGTTAAAATAAACATACGAGGTACAAAGGAAGAAAGAGGGTTATTAAAAAAGAGATGACTTTCACGTTAGTTCTTCAACATTTTAAAACAGTAAATTTTTAACACAGTATTACCTTCTCTATTGTGTAGTGAAAACAAGTCTTAGCAAACTTATCCTTTACAGTGTGATATTCCGATTGTTGAGGCAGTAGCTGGACCGTACAGCACAGCTGGTCATTCATGTCTGTCCAGTGTTCAGGAACATTATCTAGAAAGTCAGCGTTTGGTGAAAACATGATATTCATTTCCAAGGACCTCTGAAAATCAGGGCATTTCCTATGCTCTTGTTAAGCTACAAATTTCACAGTTGCTTTTTTAATTATCCTCAATTGAGTAAACACAAATGAAGTGAAGAGTCTGATACCAATATAATACATAATATATATATATTTTTAATTTTATTTCAGCATATTATGGGGGTACAGATGTTTAAGTTACGTGTGTTGCCCTTGGTTACCCCCCCTCAAAGCTTCAAGTATGTCCATCCCCCAGACAGTGCACACCGCACCCATTAGGTGTGAATATACTCTTCCCCTCTACCCCCGTCCCACCCGCCCA